CCATCTCCTTACCTATCTCCTCATGCCTATTTGCTCTCATTTATTCTCATACATAAAACATGACATGGCTTCCTGCCAAAACGTATATATTGGCTAACCGTTTAGCAAAAGGATTGTTCTTTTTAAAAAAATTCTTTGTAGTTAACTTTTGTAGGCACGATTTTAGGATAAATTACCTGTGTGCACAAAAAAAAACTTCCTGAGAAAAATTGAGTAAATATAATTTGTAATTATGTTATTCATACTACAATCCTAATGATCTCCCATGTAATTTTTTTTGTTTATAAACGTTATGTCAATTTTTTTTTTTTTTTTTTTTGTTATAATGATTCCTTTCCAATTTTTCAAACCATCCATCGTTTGTAAGTAAATAAAAAAATCAAAATCAATTTTAAATTGATACAGTCATCTGATACGTTAACAAAAAAAAAAATTACCTTTATTCGTGTTGCAAATATATAAAGTCAGAGTTGCAAACGCTGAATGTTGAAAGTTCAGGGTTTGTTGGTTTGTTTCAAGGTTTCCATACCAGAAAGTTGAGCGAGCATACAGGTTCAAGGATATTAATAATAAACTAACGCTTGATTTTTTTTTTTTCCTTCTTTTTTTCTTCTTTTCTGATCATGTCCAAAGATTAAGCAATTTGAAGTGTGCGAGTGCGTGTGAGTTTGTTTGTATGCGTTCGTTTGTTCGTTTGTTTGTTTGTTTGTTTGTTTGTCTATTTGAGTGTCTCGAAACCGATGATGACCTATTTGTATAATAAATGATATTTATTTTTCTCTTTCGATCGCCTTTTTAACGTTTTTTCAAATATTATTAATTGTTTTTCCTACGGTTTTTATATATGTACGCGTCCAATGGAATGCTTTGTTAAGCTTCCATTCGAAATACGAAATTGTTTTTGTTGATTACCTGAATAATGGCAACAACCACCACCACCACCACCATCACCATCACCATCACCACCACCATGATTTGTGCGATTCGATTTCTATTGTTTGATATCATTAACGAATACAAGTTTGAACTTTTAAGAACTGCAAAAACAAATAAAATAAATTAATGTAAGCTTCCCACATGAGAGAGAGAGAGAGAGAAAATTAAAATTATTTTTTTTTTTTTTTCAGTTATTATACGTGCGTAGTAACTTATCATTACGTTACAATCATCAATCGAAACAAAATTTATATATATATATATATATAAATTTTTGAAATACTTTTTAACAAACAATAATTTGTTGTTTTTATAAATAACAAGATTTAAAATAAATAATTATAAAAAAAAACATTGTTGTTGACCAAATGTTACATTGTTTTTTTTTAAATCACCCCCCCCCCCACCCAAAAAAAAAAAAAATTACGAAAAAGAATTTAAAGGGTAATTTAACGTTTAAAATTCCCATTAAAATTTCTTATTTTTTTTTTTATGTTGCCGGACATGGCAATTTTATTGAATTATTGCACATGTTTAAGATTTTATATATATCTATCTATCTATGAAAAAAAAAAAAAAAAAAAAAAAAAAATACCTCTCTTTCTCAAAATAAGTATTATTATTCTTACATTATTCAACTGTTTTTAAATCGTACAAAAATTAAAGAAAGAAAAAAAAATCATTTCGAAATTCAATGATTCGTTAAAAAAAAACTAAATCAAATTGAATTCTTAACAATTTTTCAATTATATCGATGAGCAAATTTTGTTACGTTTTAAATTAATAATAATAATAAAAATATTAAATTCATTACACACTCTCTCTCCCCCCTCTCTCTCTCTCTCTCCCTACTGCTTCCTGTTAAATAAAATTTTTTTTTTTTTTTTTACATATAAATTAATGGGAATTTTCTACCATGTTAAAAAAAATGTTCTGTTATTTTATTTTTTTTTCATAATAATTTCCTAAGCATTAACTTTTTCAAATTATATCAAATTTAACTTTATAGTAAAAACGTGTAAGAAGAAAAAAAAAAGAAGAAAAAATTACCTGCACGGTGTAATGTGTGTAAAAATAAAAAATAAAACGAAAATTTTATCCAATCTCGTTCGGAAATCCATTTTTTTTTTTTTTTTTATCCATATCGTTAGTAGATAATAATAATAATAATAAATATTGCGTTAATAACAACCCCTGAAAGAATAAGAATATGTTGTTGTTAAACAAACAAACAAACAATCAGTAAAACAGACGGTCAATATTTTTTTTTTTAAACAATTAAATTAAAATTAAGTACCCCCCCCCTCAAAATTACAAGTAAATTTAAATTTACAAAAAAAATACAAGAAAAATTTAAATAATTAACTAATAATTAAGTTAACTTATGTAAAAATTAAAAAAAAAAAAAAAAGGATGAATTAATAAATAAATAAATAAATAAATAAATTTTTTTTTTTTTTAAAGGTTGACTTGATCACCTTCGAAATCTCAACGATTTAAAAAAAAAAATTTAATCAAAATTCAAATTTTTTTTTTTAATAAAATAAAAAAGAATGTCATTCACGAAATAAGATAAATGACATCTAATTATTATTATTATTATTATTTTAATCGAAAATCGAGAGATTTAACACGTAATGTTTAAAAAAAAAAAAAAAAAAAACTAAAATTAAAAAAAAAAAAAGTTAACCCTTGACTCATGGGGGGGGGTAAAAAAAAAAAAAAAAAAAAAAAAAAAAAAAAGTTCAAGGACACAATAAGACAAATTCAAGCATGTATGGAATGCTTTCCAAACAAGTAGGAAGTAAAAGAAATTTTTTTTTTTTTTTTTTACAAAACAAACCTTAAAATTTCCCTCACGTTTACATTACGCTCGAATTCGTTTACTAAGTCAAATAAGAATTCAGGAAGCCCAAACTGGAAAGAAAAAAAAAAAAAAAGAAATAATATTGTCATCGTTCCGGGTGGTGAAGAATACATCATCGAAAGCTAAACATGACCTCAAACTCGAATATATACTAATTTTTATGAACTTATCCGTGTACCGTTATTTGGCCGAAAAAAAAAAAAAAAAAAAAAAAAAAAAAGCCGACAACTTTGAACGAAGAAAGAAAGAAAGAAAGAAAGAAATTGTTTCTGGAGAAAATTTACACGCGTGAAAATACAAAAATAAAAATCTAAATGGTTAAACCATTCTATGGTACTTTTATGAAAGTGAGTTATTCGCATATACAAACATTCTTACATGGTATTATTAAATGTGGTAACGTAGGTATTCGACTAAGTGGTGAGGATTTTTTTTTTTTTGCTCTCCTCTCTCTCTCTCTCTCACCATTGCCACATTCAACTTGCGGAAAGTAATTTTTTTTTTTTTTTTTTAAACTGGCCAATCAAAACTCTTTTACAACGACCAGAAATTACCCAAGTTCAAGGTACTTTATACCATTATTACTTGGTTTTTTTTTTTTTTTTTTTTTTTCCTCATTTTATTACATTACCAGATGTATAATGACAATGATAACGTAAACTTAGGGCAGTTAGTTAATAACAATAGGAATTTTAAAAAAAATTATTACCCGTAATTTTCACCTATCGAAAAAATATTGCACGCTATCTCCCATTGTTATATTAAACAATTTTCCCGGTTAATTGTAAATTTTCTTTTTTTCTTTCCATTCGTTTCCTTTTTTTTTTTTCCCCTCTCAATTACATCATCCCCTCAACCGGGGACCAGCATGCGCGTACCTATTGGGACAAAAAAAAAAAATAAAAATTATTACCTTTAATTTAAATAATGTTTTAAACGATATTTGTTTGTTCGGTTAATTATTATTATTATTTGTAAATTGTGTCAAATTATAAATTAACATTGATTTTTTTTTTTATTTACCTCGCCCATTGCAAAAAATTAATTATCACAATTACGTATTTATAACGACGACATAACGTATTATTTGAGGGCAAACAAATACAATTTAATTAAAAATTACTCCTATTTTAAAAATCATATTCGAATCCTACATTTTCTATTATTATTATTATTATTATTACAACTATTATTTAATTTTTTTTTTTTTTATTGAGTCATGTGAGCCCGTGTGTATTTTCTT